CAACATGCGAACTGTCCTGACTTAGCGCCTTTAGCCTTCTGAACTTTAAGAACAAGCATAAAAACGCCCTCTTGCATTTATTTTTACTGTTTTGCATTACATTCATTATTTATCGCTTAGTTTAATCTGAATCTATAATCGCTAGTGTGGTTTACATACTCCCTTGGGATTCGATAACCCCTTGTACTACAACTGCTTTTGCTGTGCACTTGCAGTAGTTTTATTTGGGTAAAACCTGACCCTATCAATACAAAAGACCACCAATGATGCTTCTGAACTTTGTTGGCTCACTATACTCTCTATCATCCTCTGTCTTCTTGCCATTAGGTGTAAGTGGAGAACTTACACTCTTGCTTCCAGTCATACCAAACTTCTCAATGAGTTCGTTGGCATATTTTTCTTGTGATAGAAAAATTTCACGATCATCTTGAATTATTTTCATTCCCCGAAATAACTCAACAACCCCATATATGTTATCTCAAACTCCTTCTTCATGTCTTCCTTGAATCTTTCAATGAGTTTAGAATTGCTTCCAGTGATCACTAAGTCATCAACGTAGAGACTCACAATCAAGAAATCCTTGTCTTTCTTCATTACGTACAAGGCTGCATCATTCATGCTTCTTTGAAAACCACTTTGGAGAAAGTATGAGTCGATTTTCCCATACCAAGCCCTATGAGCTTGCTTCAAACCATGGCGATTGTGCAACATAGATTTCCTCTTCAAGTTCTCCATTGAGAAATGCTGACTTGACATCCATTTGATAAAGCCTTCACTTCTTTTGTGCCGCTAGAGCAAGTATTGCTCGTATTGTATCATGTCTTGAAACAGGTGCAAACGTTTTAAGATAATCAACACTATATTCTTGAAAAAAACCTTTTGCTACTAATCTTGCTTTATACTTGATTGGATCTCCATTTGCATTGGTCTTGATGCGATAGATCCACTTCACACTGATGATGTTTTTCTTTTCCGGTTGCTCCACAAGTAACCATGTTCTGTTTTTCTCTATCATCCTGATTTCTTCTTCCATGGCGCTTCTCCATTCTTTGATCTCTAAAGCTTCATCATACTTTTGTGGTTCCTATGTTGTGAGAAAACATGCTTCATATGCAGGAGCCGTTTCTTCTAGATCCACCATTGGTGCAACTTGCATTATTTCAGCATTTCTTTGGTGGTTGAGAAGATGTTGGGGCGTCTTCTTCTTCATCGTGAATTTGATCACCAAATTGAGGCAACACAGGGCTGTAGATGTTATCTTCTTGCTCTTCTTCATTTCCTTGATCTTGAAGGATATTGAGAGGAAGATAGAAGTTCTTCTTCACTTCTGTTTGTCTTTCCCAATCCCACTTCTTTCTTTCTTCGAATGATACATCTCTTGAGATCTCCACTTTCTCGTTTTCTAGAATGAGCACTCTGTATCCCTTTGATTTGCTGTTATAACCAATGAAGATCCCACATTTTGCCTTCTTATCTAATTTGCTTATCTTCTCTTTTGGCACATGAACAAAGCATAGACTCCCAAATATATTTAAGTGACCAATTTTTGGTTTATGGCCACTCCACTTCTCAATCCGCGTGATGTCGTCTTCAATGGCTTTGGTGGGTAAACGATTAGCATGTATGCAGTTGTATACACTGCATCAGCCTATAACTTGTGACGAAGACCTTGATCAGTGATCATGGTTCATGCCATCTCCACCAGAGACCGATTCTTACGCTCTGCAACACTGTTTTGTTGAGGTGAGTATGAAACCGTTACTTGTCTCTCAATTCCCCATTCATGACAAAATTCATTGAATTCAGTCGATGTTAATTCACCACCGCCATCAGATCGAAGCATCTTGATCTTGCTTCCGGACTGAGTCTCCACCAAGGCTTTATACTTCTTAAAGATCACAAATACTTCGGACTTGTGTTTAAGAAAGTATGTCCAACACATGTGTGTGTAATCATCAACAAACAATAAGAAGTGCCGGCTTCCATCAAGCGACTCTGTTTGCATTGGTTCGCAAACATCTGTGTAAACAATCTCGAGTTTCTCCTTTGTTTTTGTTAGAGATCCCTTTGGAAATGCATCTCTTGCTTGTTTTCCACGCTTGCATGCTCCACACGCCTCTCGGCCCACTTGAAAACTTGGTAAACCATTCACCATCTTCTTCTTTTGCATTTATTGAATCCTTGAGTTACCCACGTGGCCCAATCTTCTATGTCATAACTCCATTTCTTCTTCTTCGTGAGTAGTCATGGCATTTTCTTGAGTAGAGTTCCATTTTATTGGAAAACTCTTACGAACCATCTTAATATCCATAATCTTTTCCCCATAGGATTTATGATAATACACCGCTTGTCTTCAAACATGACACGATATCCATGAGATATGATTTGTGGAATGCTTAGTCGATTCTTCTCCAGTCCTGGCACATGAAAAACATCTTTGATGACTCGTTTCCCTTTGTTGGTCATGACAGTGATGTCTCCTTTGCCAGCTGTCATTACCATTTCTCTGTTCCCAATTTTGATTGGAACGTTGATACTTCTATCCAATTGTGTGAAGTATTTCTCTTTCTTTGTCATGTGATTGGTGCAGCCTCTGTCTACCAACCATATTTCTTCTCACTTGATTGTTGGCGTTTCTTCACTTCCACTGAAAAGCATGTGAACTTCATCTTCTTCGTCTTCTTCTTCAAGATCCATATGTGCTCGTTCATATTTTTTTATATGGCAATCTCTTGAGAAATGTCCTGCCTTGCCGCAGTTGTAACATTCTCTCTTATTCTTTGAACCGTTGTGTTTAAAAATTTTGTTCTGTTTCTTCCAATAATCTGCTTCTGTGTGATTGTCTTTCTTGCAGACACCACACCACTTTTTGCTTTTTCCTTCACGCTCACTGAATCTGTTTTCCCTCTTGAAACCAGATTTTCCTCCTCTTGGATGCTCCTTCAGTCATGCTTTCATCACGAGATGACACACGCTTCTCATGTGCCTTCAGAGTTCCTATTAACTCTGTCATTAGCAACTTAGTGAGATCCTTCGTTTGCTCCATTACAGCCACTATGCTGTCAAATCTGGCGGGAAGAGATATTAAGATTTCCCAAATCAATTAACTTATCTATGAAAACTTTGATGTTGTCTCCTTCATTCATCTTTAAATTTTCATATTCTCTTATCAATGATTGCAAGTTGATCAATCGTACTTGTAGAGATCCCTGAAATTCGGATTTCAAAGCATTCCACGCTCCCTTCGAAGTAACGGCCGGTGCTATGCGAGAGAAGATCTGATCTGATACGGCAGTTTGCAGAATTGCAGTGCCATCATATCCTTTGTTGATTCTTTCTCACATTGATTTCTCAATCGCAACGCTTCGGGAGTATGATCCGCTTATGTAGGTCGTTCTAAAATTCCGTTCTCCACCACCATCCATAATTTTCTGGTCTTGAGAATTGTAGTCATCTTGATACGCCAAAAATCATACTTGACTCCATCGAATATGGGGATTACTAGCTGTGATGATACTTCCATAATCTCTGTTTCTCGCTTGAACTTTTACTTTGCTTGTTTTTGTACTTGAATCGACTCTTAAAATCAAGAGAGCTCTGATACGATGTTAGAAGCGAGAGCTTCTTTCTCACAAAGAACACAACAAGGTTTTACTTGTTGCCCTATTTCTAAGAATGAAAAACAGAGTATAAGAGAAACTTGTGTTTTGTATTGATTATTGAAAACTTGTGTTTTACAATGAAGGAGAAAATGTGTATATACTTTTAGAAACAACACGAACAAGAGTTGTGTTTTTCTACTTGTGTCTCTTACAACATAAACCTAAAGACACGACTCTTAAATTAATAACTACCAAAACTTAATTATCAACTAACAATAAGGTATAATTATAAAACTTTGAGAAAAATAAATCGGTGCCCTCTAAAACACAAGTTGGGAAGCGGAGAGACTTCTTTGAAATGTCATTGCTCGAGTGGATCTATAGTAACTTGGGAGATCCTAGGCTGGTATGGAATGTCCCCTGGTCTACAATGTTTGCGATAGCTGTATGGTGGGGTTGGAAATGGCGGTGTGGGAATATCTTCGGGAGCATACAGAGATGTCGAGACAGAGTTCGGTTCATCAAAGAACTCGCACAAGAGGTGATATTAGCACATGATAAGGTGCACGATACTAGAGCAGAGATAATGTGAGAAGAGAGAATGATAGTGTGGCGCCTCCCAACGATCAGGTGGATAAAACTTAACACAGATGGAGCATCTCGGGGCAATCTAGGTCTGGCAACAGCAGGTGGAGCGTTGAGAGATGAGAATGGAAACTGGTGTGGGGGCTTTGCTCTGAACATTGGTATATGTTCAGCACCTTTAGCTGAGCTTTGGAGAGTGTATTATGGGCTCTACATTGCTTGGAAACGCTGAGAGATACGAGTGGAGTTGGAGATTGATTCGAAGATAGTAGTGGGTTTTTTGACGTCAGGGGTTAGTGATTGTCATCCCCTGTCCTTCCTAGTACGGCTGTGCTATGGCTTTCTTTCAAAGGACTGGATTGTCCGGATTACGCATGTGTATAGGGAGACTAACTGCCTTGTGGATGAGTTAGCAAACTATGCTTTTGATTTACCCTTAGGATTTCATTTTTTCTCTGTTGTACCCGAAAACATTGTACCAGTCTTGTCGGAAGATGCTCAGGGAGTTGCACGGTCTAGGAGAGTTCGTGTGTAAGTTTAGTTCACTTGAATAAATAGGGGAGCCTACTCCCCAAAAGCTTACCAAAAAAAAAAAAAATAATAAATCGGTGCCCTCTAAAAGACGGCGTAGCTTAAAGTCTATTCTTAAGATTAAATACATCAAACACTCTAAAAGGCAGCTTAGCTTACAGTCTATTTTAATATAAAGCCCAAAGGCAAGCCCAGCAAAAACTAACAAATCATATATTTCATTACTCGAGCTTGTAGGGATCAATGGCTGAAATGCCACTTTTGGAGAAAAACTAATTTTATATGCCATTGTCTTATTTACAATATATATTTTTTTTTAAATCAAAATGCAGGAAATATCCTTTAAATCCTTATTGAACTAGAAAAATTACACAGCCCAACCACTCAAACCCTCTAATTCAACTAGAATCCATCTAATTTTTTTTTCTTTCAATTATCGAGCATCTCATCTTCTTCGTCGGTTCTTATCTATTTTTTTTTAAATTTCATTGATTTAATCGAAAGAGGAGGAGACGGTGAATTTCAATCTTACTATGAACTCGTCACGGATCTGAAGTCTCTCCTCGACACAGACGGCAGCCTCTCCTCAATAGCTTCATCGTTTCTTCGCTGCTTCTCCGCCGCCATAGATGCGCGCTTATGCTCCGATGTCTCTTCCCTTTCCTTAATCTTCAGTTTCTAAACATAACAGCCTCGGCCTCTACTTGCTCTCTCTCACTAAGGTTTTCCATTTTCCTCTTCGTTTTCTGTTGAATTGTATTTTCTAATATTTTTTCTGTACTTTTTTAAAGTTTAGTCCTATCATTTCTGTAGATTCGTGTGAGTTTCTTGGCACATCTCTTATACTGTAAGCTATGCTGCTGTGTCGAGTTTCTTTATTGAATTCTCCGCTTATTTTTGTAGATTTAGTTCAGCAATGGCTGTTGTAGCAATTTCAGAACTCTAAATTCTGCAACTTAATTAATTTTTACGATTCTCCCTAGCTTTGGTTTCAATGAATGATGATGTGTGGATTTGTTTTTTGCCCTGACGAGATTCATATTCTTTATGCAGTTTTGCGATGACATATTTGAGCCGAAGCTGGAAGAGCTCATTAATCAGTTGAAGGAAGTTGGTGAAGACATGGATGCATAGCTAACTGACCATTTAACTAATCGATTTTCCTCTCTGTCTTCACCATATGATCTATTAAATTTCTTTATTGACATACGAGATTAGCTGCTCACTTGCTTAAGGTCTTTTTTCCTTGTTTTCATCATGTTTGGGTCTTATTAGCTATCGTCTCCTTTTTTGTAGGAATACTTGGGAGCCTTGATTCAGGAGTTGTGCAAGATGATCAGATTATTTTACATCCGAAAAGCAACTTGGGAATGTTTGTTGGCGGTTGCATTTTGGCATTTAACTTTCTACTGTTCGAGGTATTGTGCTTTTTACATTTTTGTTTTTCTTGTTTTATCCAGCTTAAGATCCTATAGTAAGTGTTTGGTTTTTATTTAAAGTTTTGCATGATTTTTTGGAGGGTACAGTTTTCCTTCTGTTTGCAGCATGATCCTGCTTGTCGTGTGATTGCTAGCCAACATATTCAAAAGGCAAAAAAATTACGTCAGTTTCATTGAGTGGAACAAGCATACATGGCCACCATTATCATGGACAATGCTAAAATCGTGGTGTTCAACATTAATTTTGCTAGTCTTTCAATGGTGGAGCTTCAGTAACGTCAAGCTATAAAAAAATTTATCTGGATTTTTGTGAAAACTATGAAAAATATAATGTTTGTGAGGTACAACTGAAATAAATATAGTTTGACTGAGTTCGATTGAGTGAGTTTTACGGTTCAACTGAATTTTATTAAGTTCAACTGAATTTTATTAAGTACAACAGATGACACAAGTAACAAGGTACAATTGAAATATATGGTTCGACTGAGTGAGTTTTATGGTTCAACTGGGTTTTATTAAGTTCAACTGGATTTTATTAAGTACAACAGATGACACAAGTAACAAGGTACAATTGAAATACATGGTTCGACTGAGTGAGTTTTATGGTTCAATTGGGTTTTGTTAAGTTCAACTGGATTTTATTAGGTACAACGAATGACACAAGTAACGAGGTACAACTGAAATACATGGTTCGACTGAGTGAGTTTTATGGTTCAACTGGGTTTTATTAAGTTCAACTGATGACAAATTATGATTTTTCATAATTGTTTAATTTGTTTTTTAATAAAAATTGAAGTATTTTCTCTCTCTTATCCTCTCTCGAAATCGTCTCTCTCGTCTCCTCTCTGGGAATCGTCTCTCTCGTTTCCTCTCTCAGAATCGTCTCTCTCGTCTCCTCTCTCGGAATCGTCTCTCTCGTCTCCTCTCTCAGAATAGTCTCTCTCTCTCTCTCTCTCTCTCTCTCCTAATCTCTCTCTCTCTCTCTCTCTCTCTCTCTCTCTCTCTCTCTCTCCTCTCTCTCTCTCTCTCTCTCTCTCTCTCTCTCTCTCTCTCTCTCTCTCTCTCTCTCTCTCTCTCTCTAAGTTGAAGAAACAAAAAAAATAAAATTAGGGTTTTGAAACATTTGGAAAAGTAGACTTTTTGAAAATAAAATTAAAACATTGCAAATTCTTCCTGCTGGCGGAAAACTGAAAATTTATTAAATTTTCCAAAATAAATTGAACTTAGTTGTCCTCAAGCAAGCAGTTGAACCAAATTCCTAATAGCTGTATTTTTGCAATTTTATTGTATTTCTAGTTGAACCTTCCCCTAAACTATTATAGTGTAGTTGTACAAATGATTTTGAACCATTAAACATCATTTTCAACGTTTTCATAGTATAATGTATGAAGAATTTAATATTTTGATTTTTTAATCTTAAAAGGCTTAACAATATTGATATCTTCCTTATATTGTAAGGGGTGGTTGATGTGAAAACATGATTTTGTATCATAATAAAAAAAATATAATATTCTTTATATTAGTAATTGTTTCCTTATAGTTGAAAATGTGTTTATAGATCTTAATTAGTTGATTCACATCACTTGTAGCTTTAATAATTGTTTAGTTCACTTCTAAAGTTGATATTAGTTGTACCCAGTTGCACCCAGTTGCACCTGCTGGTGCAATTTCAAGAAAAACACAAAATTATTAATAATTATACCTAGTTGCACCGGGTGATGCGATTTCGAAAAAGGCAAACGCACAAACGTTAATAGTTGTACCCAGTTGAACTTAAAAGTGTGAATCCGAGATGACAAACACATAATCGTTAATAGTTGTACCATGTTGAACCTGGAAGTGCGAATTCGAGAAAGACAAACATGTAATTGTTCATACGTGTACTCAGTTGTACTTGGTAGTGCAAATCAGAGAATGATAAACACATAAACGTTAATAGTTGTACCCAGTTGAACCTAGAAGTGCGAATTCGACAAAATAAAACTCAGAATTATTCATACTTGTACCTAGTTAAACATAGTCATACAAATTCGCCAAACTGAAACACATATAGATTCATAGATGTACATAGTCTAACATGGTTGTACAAAACCGAGAATTACAAAACACACACACACACAAATCAAACTGCACTGCAAAACAGATGCTATTAATCATGGGATGCCTTTCCTTCTACGAGAGCATATATGCATCTTTTTGTATACTCTAACACTGAAATCATCCGATTTCTTAAACCTTGCAGCTTGTAAATACCATTTAGAGCCTTGAGTCTTCTGGCGGCATTCTAGAATAAGTCACTCTATATCTGACTTATAAGTATGGACCCCAAAACAGTTCTTATGTGCTGCTCTGTCAACCATATCTTCTTATATATTTTATCTACTAATGTCGAGTAAGTTATCTTCTCTAATGATAAGTTCGTAAATGGTATATCATATGTGGAATTACTAGTAAACCATTTCAACTCCCCTTCCACATATAGCATAACTCCCTCCATAGTCAAAATATATGTTTGTGTGGTTGGTGCTCATGATCTCCTGAAAATATAATGAAAATAGTTGATCAGTTGAACTCAATTGAACACAAAGTACCACAGTTATACCAGTTGAACTCAGTTGAACTACATTGATTTCAGTTGTACCAGTTGAACTACACCTCTCATTTGTACCACTTGTACCAGTTAAACCCAATTGAACTCAGTTGTACCAGTGAAACTATACCTCACATTTGTACCTGTTGAACTAAAGTGAACTCAGTTGAACTAAAGTGAACTCAGTTGTACCAGTTGAACTACACCTCTCATTTGTACTAGTTGAACTCAATTGAACTAAATTGAACTCAGTTGTACCAGTTGAACTATAGCTCTCATTTGTACCAGTTGAACTTAAGTTTTCAGTTGTTCCAGTTCGCTATCAGTTGTACCAGTTGTACCATTTTTCCTATCAAATGTCTGGGAATTTCGAGCTCAAGTTTCGTTGTTCTACATATGAATCTGATTAACATAACCACGTTCTTCTCACAAATTACCGAACATATGGCTTAATCTATCCAGAATACATTGTTACCAACCCAGATCCCTAATTTTTCAAATCTAAAGCCCTAGTTTTACACTCTAATTGAAAAGGAAGAAATCACCTTCAAAATATGAGATCTTCAACAGTGGCAGAAAGAGGATTGGAATTCTGGGTCAGACGAAGTGGAGAAAGAGTCGATCTAGGTTGGACGAAAAGGATGACGGGAGAAGAAGCTCAAGGAAGGAGCTTGGAAACCAGAAGAGAGTCCATGTGAGAAGAGGGAGGAGGAGCTCTCGCGGGGATGCTGGAGCTGCAATGGAGAAATCGATGATTCAATTTTTTTTTTTTCAAATTTTAATTTTATTTATTTTTACTTCTTTTACTTTTACTAATTTATTTTTATTTGGTTAATTTCTCTAACTTTGACTAATGACTAATTTGTAATATCACATCTCATTTAAATGAGAGAGTGGCATTAGATCATGTGATGACAGCATAGATCAATTTTCTGTAAAAGTGGCATTTGAGCACTTCGCTCAGCTTGTAGTAAGAATCTGCTGCTGTATCCCAAGAAGGTATCACATATTCACTTTCTTGTCTATGGTTCCATCACATATTTACTTTCTTCTGTCTACGGTTTATTGTAGATGTAATTGCACATATATTATCCCTTTAAACTTTTAATAAGGTTAATGACACAATTCAAGCTTAGAAACATTTATTCAGACAACTATACTATCAGGTGAACCAGATAACACATTATGTCTCAAAGTATTTTTTTGAAATTGAAGATTTTAACTCAAATACATCAAGAAGATTAGATGTTGATTTCTAATTGGAGATCTAGAAGAAACATAAGCATAAGCAACTCAAGAAGAAAAAAAATATTAATATTTTATTTGTGGACAAAAAATTCACTATAAATTTTTTCAGATTAGTTGTACTATAAAGTAACAATAATATAAAATTACACTCCCTCCGTTTTTAATTGTTTGATGTTTTAGGATTTATACTTATTTTTAAATGTTTGATGTTTTAGCTTTAATTAATATATTTTAAATTAAATATTATTTTTACTTTTATTTCATTGGTACAATTGTATTGGAAAGCAAAAAATTAATAAAAAAATAAAATATCTTAAAATCTGTACCAGAACTAAAACATCATACATTAAAAAACGGATCCTCCGTTTTTTTATATAAGATGTTTTAAGACTTTTTTTTTGTTTGAAAATATATAATGTTTTCAGAAATCAATGCAAAATTTACTAATAAATGACTTGTTTTACCCTTGAATTAATTGATAATCAAACAAATAAATAATAATAAATAAGATTATAATAGACATTTTACAAATTTTGTTAATTTGTGTGTAAAGTTCTAAAACGTCATATAAACAAAAACAGAGGGAATAGATGTTTATAATGAATAAAACAAATTATTTATTCTTATAACTAGTTAATCTGAAATAAATTTATATTTTTAATGCAATTACAAAGTAATATACAAAAACTAATCAATAAACATATATTTAAAAAATTATACAATAATTAATAAATTAAATATAAATTAAATATTGCATAACTGCGCAACACGCGGACCTTCACCTGATTTTATCAATAATGAAGAATTTTGAAAAATCAAATTTTATAAAATAAAAGGATTGTTTGTTAAATTTCCTATTTGACTATATATTATAATATAATAATAATAAGTGGCAAAAATTTGAAAAAGTGCCATCCCTAGATTCGTATTCAGATACCTCTCTCTGCCACTCTCCAATGACGATGTCGATATTGACAGATTTTCCAAAGGATTTGGTAGAGGATGAGATTCTGTGTCGCATTCCGGCCACGTATCTGAAAGGATTGGGATCTATCTGTAAACGATGGAACCGTTTGTTCAACGGTGATAAGGGATTCGCAAGAAAGCACACTGACAAAGCGGCGAAGCAGTTTCTGGTTCTGATGTTGACGAGGGCTCACCGGATTTGTCCGATAATCGTCAATCTAGACGGAACAGTTCCAACTGTAGAGGTAAAAACTGAGCTTAGCCTGGTGGGTTATTCGCATTCAAATCATTTCAGACGCAATATCTCGAGTGTTTCACTGTGACGGCTTGTTATTATGCACCCTCGAAAACCAATCCAGATTCGTGATTTGGAACCCTTATACTGGTGAAACCAGGTGGTTCCAGCCCAGCAAACGTGTCGAGAAAGGCTGCACCTTTGTCCTCGGATACGACAACAACAAGAGCTACAAATATTATGAAATCTACGAGTTCAGCTCTGATTCGTGATGATGTCATCGCCCCAGGATGGACGATTGGAAATAGTCGTTCCAATGTGTCTTTGAAGGGAAGTACTTACATGTTCGCCGTGGATAGAACAAAAACGCAAGTCAACTTGTCCTTGGCCAGATTTGATTTTGCAACAGAGAAATGTATAGTTGTGCCTCTTCCCTGTCAGTGTAACTATGATTTTGGAGCTACAGGTCTTTCCGTTGTTAAAGACGAGAAACTCTCGGTGTTATTACAGAGCAATGTTACATCCAAGACTGAGATATGGGTGACAAATAAGATTGATGAGACTTCCCAAGTGGTGTCGTGGAGCAAGATCTTGGCATTGGATTTGAGCCCTGATCTTCAACTTTTTCACGATGCAACTTTCTTGCTCGACGAGGAGAAGAAAGTCGTCGTGATTTGTGAAATGTGGGTTGACATCGAAGACGAGACCGAGACCATCAGCAAAGACGTGATATACATTGTTGGGGAGGACAACGAAGTCACAGAAAAGAATTTTGGAATAGATACAAGTGATGGATGTAAAATCGTTCTCCTTGAATATGTGCCAAGTTTGGCTCAAATCGAGCGAGCTGGAGGCAAAAGGAAAAGCTGCATGTAAGAAGTGAAAAATCTTCCTATAAATCTTGTTCTGTTTGCTCTGTTTTCGTTTGTGTAAAAGTGCATGAGTGAGCTCTATAGTATGTCAAAAACTGCCTGAGAGAATTATATCACTTTGCTTTTGATCATGGAAATTAGTAAATCTTCTTTGGTCGAGATTACTTTCATCCTCTAATCTTCTATCTTGGTTGAATGAGCGGGTTCGCTTTCCTTTAATTATGTAATATATGTGTTTGCTTATTTTCCCTATTCAGAGTAGATCCACCTCGGTTTCCTCCATTTGAATCAAAATATGACTGAAAACACAACAAACAAATATATGCGCCCAACAACAACTAAGCAATCGTATCTTTCATTACTCGAGCTTGTAAGAATCTGCTGCTGTATCCCAAGAGAGTATGATGGAATCTCATTACAGACGGCTTAAGTTGAATGTAGAAGATGATGCTGACGAGAGAGACCCAAGTTCTTTTGTCTGCCAAAATGTTATGTATGATGATGAATCTTGCTGTAAGTGTAAGGCACACGGCAATATTCATACCCTATAAGGTATTTGAATCCGAACGGCAAATGCTCTACTTCATTTAGAGTATTCCTATTCTTCACATTTCTCAGTTTAGATGATTAAAAAAAAATGAAGCTGAGAGAGCATGGAGATGTTTTCTTTTACAAACATATGAATCAAACAATCTCAAGACTCCACAAGATTACATGTGAAAGTGGAAAGTGGAACTCTCTAAAAGATTACAAAACGAGTTAAATTAACGTTATCTTCTTCTTCGTGGCCAAACTATATATACTCTATCAAAGTGCATCATTCCGATATGCATTGGTGCGATTTGAACCAATCATTTGACAATAACTCAACGATCCGTCTCTCGAGCCTATCGGAACCAGAACCGGGTCTAAGGATACCCGAGTCTCCCCAGACAGAACACGAGCTGCTGTTCTTACCAGAACCTCCCAAACACCAACCACCAGGCACAACTTCACCAGGTAAGCGTCCCAGAAGCTCATGATCGATGCCATCAAGGACAGGGTCATCGAGCCTGAACCCTCTTGCGAATGCTGCTCCGGTTTCAACCATATCCGCGAACTCGTTGGGGTTAAGCTGGTGGTATCTTTCTTGAGAAGTGTCGTTAGAAGCTAGATAGAGTAAGTTGTTGTTCATGATGGTCTTTCTGAAAAGATGAGTGTTGCAGAGGATAGTTGGGAAGTAGTTGGATATGGAAGCAGGTGTGTTGGACAAGTACATGAGTAGTGTCCGAGGGAAGTTGTCAGTTCCCAAGACACAGTGCTCGACGAAATTGCGGCTTAAGATGGAGAAAGATGGACCTGCCAAATAAAGAGATTATACAGCATTTAGCTTAATCATCAAAAATATAAGTTATTCCTAAACTTGGGCTACATTTCCTCGCTTATCTGCTTAAGCACCTAAGAGCACTACCAATAAACGAGACATCATGCACACAGTCTTTATTTCTTCCAAGTAGCAGCAGTATATGGTAATAAAGGTTTTCATCTACACTAATCATCCACTTATACAAATCTACCTACAAAATTTATGAAATGTCACAAAGAAATCGCTAACCTTCAGAAGTCAAAAAAAAGGGATTTGGTTTCTACAGAACAGCACAACAACTAGTAAAAAGTCTTTCCAAGTTTCCTTCTTCACAGTTTCATTTTCATCCTATCACTTGAGATTCAGCTATGTCAGTTCTTTTAGCTAGTTATTGCCTTAGCTACATAGCGAAGAATTTTCCTAGTTCAGGCAACCTCTTTTTACAATTCATCCGAAAATTGATTCGCGCGCATAACTTTCATCGATGACATTTGGAGGAGAACTATTTTGTAAACAACCAACAAGACGTAATAGTAATGAGAACCAAACCATTGCATGCGATTCCTAGACTTTGGCTTCCCTTTTCCTCACTTATCTGCGTAAGCAGCTAATAGCACTACTACTAAACGAGATAGTCTATTATTCTTCCCAAAGATCTCAACTACTGTTACCCTTTAACTTTTCACAAATTTACCTAACAAATCATTCAATTTTACGAACAAACTGAGACAGAGCAAAAAATTGCTAACCATGTGAAAGAAAGGGTTTTTAGTTCCACAACATTTCTACTCAAACACAACTTCATGAAGAATTTCTATTTGAAAGTTTCAGCTTCAGTCTAACATGTCAATACTAAGCAATTCAATTTACTGCACCAACACAGAAATTTGCGAAGAGCAAACAAGGTAACTATCTATCAATGAGATCAAACGAAGACGAAATGTAATGCAGCTTGGAAAAGATGAGCATACCTGAGAATAACTTGAAAGCCTTAGGCAACTCTCGTTTCTGTGAAGCAAAGAACATGTCGGCCTTCTCCACAAGATAGAGCCCTGGGTCAACAATCACTGGCTTCAACCTCCTTGACCTACATCAATCAGATTTGCCCCATTAAAAATTGATCCTCAAGAACATTGAATCGTTGCTCTATGGAATCGAATTCAGCAATACAATACAAAAGGGTATCTAAGTGAGAACACCATGCAATAGATAGAAGCAAGAATCTTACTCTCTCCAGCCAATGTAGCTAGTGTGATTCACGAAATTCAACTCCTTAGGCAAATGCGACAAAATGTGAAGAAGCTCTGCACAATTCCAATTCAAAAAATCGATACCACACAAATCAAAATCAAAAGAAATTTGCAGGTAAGGAATCTCAAAATCCAAACCATCTTGAGTAACGAGAGGGTAATCTTCTACGCCGAGATTGACAAACCAATCCCAAGCACCAGACAATCTGAGAAGAATCGATGCACCGTGAAGCGTCGACGCCATCGGAGACGATCCTCTCTGATAAGCGAAATCGGGCTTCCCGATGACGTCGACGTTACGCGCAGCTCGGAAGATCGGCACATCTTGCACCGTCACAGCGAGCCGATCTCGTTCGGACTGCGTCGCCAAGCTATCGAGATGGAGGAGGTAGCAATTTCTAGGATGGTAAGTGGCGAAGAGGAGACGAAGGATCCGGGGCGAGTCACCGGAGGATCCGGAGATTAAGTAAGCGATTGAAGGAGGAGCTGTGTCGGCGGCAATTTTGGAGGAGGAAGGAAAGAGCCTCGGGTCGGGTCGTAGGTCGTCGTGTCCGGTGTAGTGAGATGAAGAGAGAGAGGAGGAGGAGGAGGAAGAGAGAGAGAGGAGGAAGCAAAGAGAGACGAAAGCTGTAGTGAGGATTATGTAGACAGTGACTCTCGGTTGCTCTTTTGCAACCGCCGCTCCGTTCTGCATTTTCTCACGGGCGGCGCGTTTCCCCAAACGTGTGGAGGAGAAGAAGAAAACTAACTTCAGCATGTAATGGTCAGAGTCGCAGCATCAGACCGCAGAGAGATTAAAAAAATAAAAAATAAAATCATTTTTTGTGTTAAATACTTAAATTAATCATAGCTTAAACTTAATGCTACCGACAATGTTGTTATTGTCAATAAAAAAGATAAGTGGTTTTGCAACACGATTATGATTTTGATAAATTTAAACAAAATTTATAATTTGATTTCCTTTACATTCATTACATAAACCGTGTCGATGATCTATATACACACTGAACACTGAAAATATCGAAAACATTTTATTCTTTGGTTAATCTCCAAATATGAGTTGCGACTGCAGCATTTCTTAGTAAACCTTAATCGCCTGTTAATGGGTCAAATATGAAGAAGACAATGAAATTGGGTTAGCTTTCACTTGTTACAAGTCATGATCTGAGCCTAAGAACAATAGAAATAGACACCAAAATACAAACACATGAATCAAAAAGAGACAGAGAGAGATGGAGAAGAAACGACAGAGATCATAGAGATAAGAATATGAATGTCACATCACATCCGATCATGTTCTTCGGAAAGGAAGTGAATCTGAACCCAAGCTTCAGTGGCGACTTGTGTTTCACAGCAGCTTAAGACGAATTGAATCAGAATTATGAATAACATGATCGCAGCTGAGGATTGGTTTCAGATTCAAATTACTTTGTATCGATTTGAGCAGAAACTGCAATTGCAATGGGGACACTAAGACGACACCGTTTATCATCTGGTGCCATCCATGCCCCAAAGTTCGCTACTGAGGCGAGACGTTTTACATATTAAAAGTTTATTTACTTATTTACACTTTCTATATAGTTTGTATTCAATGGTTTTAATTAGAATCTTAGGTATCATTTCCTTTTAAGAAAATTAAAGACCGAATGAATTTAATTTGTATAGTGACAAACAAAGAAGTCATGGATTTTTCAAGATTGTTTGACTAAGGATATCTTCTTAAGATGTATTCAAATCTGAATTATTTACTAACTATAATTACAATTTTTTTAAAAAGTCAAATGTTGTAAGAAAATTTAGGAAGATTTGTTATTTGATTTTTTTTATTAAGTCCATTTACTACAATTACTCTTTTTTTAAAAGTTATCCCCTTATTAATGTAAAGGCCATCATGGCGTAATTGTTACGATTCACTTGTCACATTAAAACATAAAATTATTCACATCTTTAATTTAATTTATTTTTTAAGTAATGAATCACTTTTGCTTTCAAATAACATCATAGTGTGGTGCGCGTAGATTATCTCCAATCTACCCCGCAACTTGCGGTGGCATTTTCTACAAAGTCAAAAAAGTAAATGACACGTGTTTAATTTCCATTCGTCCAATACTCACGGTTTTGAAATCCTATTGGTTGATATGCATCACCCGCTTGGTCACTCAATTGTATTATCACCCCTCAACTTCCTCAGTAATCACGTGAATGCCATTATAGTAACAGTCTTTATGTATTTTTTTAAACAAAAAAATATTTTTGGAAAAATAGTAAATAGAAAATCTAATGGGGAGAATTAAGATGGAAAAGCCTCTATCATAAGTACGGTCGATCTTCTCCTTCTAATATGGGGTCCACAGGACTACAGTGTTAAAAAACAAAACAATGACTTACTTTTACTGAAATTACATTAGTGCCATCAAATCTCACCGTTGATCTTGGTTTCCACGATAAACTAAGTGAGCCGCGGCGTAGTTAATTGTGGCGTCAGTATACGTTATAGGAAAGTTGATTTTAAAAGAGAAAGAGAAAAAGCCAGAAATTCATTTTCGTGTCATCCCCTTCCCCACTTCCAACCAAAATATAATCAAATAAATTATTAATTATTAATTAATTAAAAGTTTTTTTTTCTTTCTAGAAATTAAAAATAAAAAATAAAAGAAAACCCTAAACGCCGTTGTGATATTTGGTGAAGGAGAGAGAGAGATTAAAAACTCCTCTGTTTCTCTTTTTCAACATTTTTCTCTCTCTTGAACCAAAAACTGAGACGAAGCGATATTTTTGATTTTTAATCCCGACTATGGAAATGGAATCATTCATGGACGACCTTTTGAACTTCTCTGTACCGGAGGAAGAAGAAGACGATGACGAAGGAGAGGATGTTCGGTCGCCGAGGAATATTACTCGCCGGAAAACCGGATTACGGCAGACAGATTCCTTCGGTCTCTTAAATCCCGACGACCCTGTAAGTCTTCAAACAAAAAAAAGTTACCCGGCCGTAGCGGTTACGTACATGTTCGGGGGGGGGGGGGGGGGGGGGGGGGGTTTAAAACCGTTAATTGTTCCGGCATACACTCGACTCGGCCGAGTTGACTCACCGCCGGAGGTTAGTCGAGTCACGGTGGCTGTGCTGTTGACTCAGCCGGGTCGAAAGTTTCGGAAAACGCGTTTTCCTTTATTATCTATTTGGTTGAAGTTATTAAACGTGCACGTCATGTGGGGACGTTTGCCGGTTCGATTTGTCGTGTAAAAAGACGGGAATACCCTTTTGTTTTTTCAAAACCCATGCGCTTTGATTCGGGAGTTGGTTGGAGGGTATTTTCGGGAATATACTTATTTTAAGGGTCATTGTTTCGTGAGCTGTTTCCTCACATGATGGTGAGCTACCACAATTAAAGTTTCAACCATTTTTTCGAATTTTGTTTGTGTAGTGGCATCATTCACACCTTTTTTTGAAATTTTATTTTCCTTTAAAATTTATTATTCGATTGCATCTCAATTATTTTTATTTGACAATTAGCGGAATTACATAATTACCCTCCCATTTTTTAATAACCCACCCATTATCTTTTTCTTTCCCCCTTTTTGAAAAACGAGGAGAGAAAGAGAGAGTCGACTCAGTCGAGTTAACGAGTTCACTCGGTCTAATTTTTTTTAATTGTTTGTTGGAATTTGCAGGGAGTTGTTGAGGAAGAGGATTTGGAATGGATATCAAACAAAGATGCTTTCCCTGTGATCGAAACATTCGTCGGCGTATTACCGTCGGAACATTTCGGTTTAGCGTCGCCGGAGAGGGTAGCGACTGAAGGAAAACAGCTGAGTCCGGTTTCAGTACTGGAAACGGGTAGCCATAATAGCTCTATAACGATGACGACAACCTCCAACAGCAGCGGCGGAAGTAATGGAAGCACGGTGGGGGCAACGGCCGCCGCTAGCACCGCCACGATGATGAGCTGCTGCGTAGGGTTAAACGTGCCGGGGAAGGCGAGAAGCAAGCGCCGCCGCACGGGACGGCGCGATTTGAGAGTTCTGTGGACAGGGAACAACGAGCAAGGAGGAGGAGGACCACAGAAGAGGAAGATGCCGTCGGTTGCAGTGGCGGTTTCAATGGGAAGGAAGTGTCAACACTGTGGAGCGGAGAAGACGCCGCAATGGAGGGCGGGACCGTCGGGACCGAAGACGCTGTGTAATGCGTGTGGCGTGAGGTACAAGTCAGGTAGGCTTGTTCCGGAGTATCGCCCGGCTAATAGCCCGACTTTCTCGGCGGAGTTACATTCAAATTCTCACCGGAAGATTGTAGAGATGAGGAAGCAGTTTCAGTCCGGTGACGGTGATGTTCGGAACGATTGTGGATAAAAGTTGTTAGGATTATTTTTTTCTCTTGAGAAACTTTTTTTTCCCCGTTAATTTCTCTTTTTTAAGTTTGTTTTAGGGTTTTGCAGTTGGAATTTAGGTTTTTTCTTCCCTTTTTAATTTGTGAAATTAGGGGTAATTACTATTTTAGGGGATATTTATGGTCAGTGAATGGAAGATAACTTTCTCATTTTACTGTTTGTTTTATAATGTGGTAATTTTAAAAGTAGAACAAAAAAAAATCTTATATGTTCGGATAATTTCATAAATTTGACCCTTTTCAAAGTCTTTTTGGTCCCAACTAAATATATAGTTTCTATGAGAGAAATTGGAAATGTGATGCAGTTTTGGGATTTTTCTGTACGTCTCGATTGAGTGATTCACTGATTCTACTTTTGGCTCTAACTTACTGACATATTTGTCTAAAAATGACATGCAGATATGTTATTCAAAATATTTATAGGATAATGTGTACTGAAAAAAGATTATAAAGGGTTAGGTACAAAAAATGTAATTGTCAAAAGCAGATAGTAACCACAATGTTAAGATTTATACAATCATTCAGTGTACAAGTAAGGGGATTGCAATAAGATCTGGCAAATCATTTTATTTGTATTTTATCACTGATAAATAAATTCAGATTATTTTATGGGTGAGAAAACAAAAAAAAAGAAAAAAGAATTAAAAAATTGGCAACAACTTATCAACTAACAACCAAACCTACTAGTTTAAGGAGGTGTTATTTAGGGGTGAGCATATTATCCGTTATATTTGATTCGATTCGTTATTTGCTTCGATTCGATTCGAAAAATCCGGATATCCGTAACGTTTCAAAGCAAAGCAAATATTAAAATATAGTATCCGTCTAAAACAAATCGAATCGCAAATACTAATTTTTGAAAATTCAGATATCCGCTCCGATCTGCAGATTACATATATACATATTAATATTATAAATTTTTAATATTTTTATATAGTTTAATTGTCTTATTAACAAATAAAAAAGAATATATATGATAAAAATACATATAATAATTTAAAGTAAGTAATAAACATCTATAATAGTTATCAAAAATTTGAAATTAAATTAGAAAAGTTTATATTAGAGTTTTAATTAATTAATATTCTTTTCAGAATATAAAACTTGGTTTTTATTTTTCTATCATTATAATTTATTATTTATATCCATTTTTTTAAATAAAAATAGTTATTTCACTTATTTTTAATTGGTAGTTCATATTTTAAAAAGAAAGACATGTATTTTCATATTTTACTTGTATTGAATGGAATAAATTTAATATCCATAAGTATCCGTAAATATCCGTAAAATATCCGCAAATATTTGTAAATTTTCCGGATATCCGCATTTCCGGATATCCGTATTTTTTCGAAGCAAAGCAAATCACAAAATCAGATATCCGGTAAAAACGGAGCAAACCATAAATACTCAAAATTTTCCGGATATCCGCTTCGCACCCAGGCCTAGTGTTATTGGTTCATGTATTTTAATAGATTTGAGAATCCAAACCAAATTCAGTGTTATTAGTTCTTGTATTTTAAAATTTATATTGAAATACAGTGTTATTGGTTCTATGATTTTAAAATCCATAATGAAATACAATGTTATTGGTTCTATCATTTTAGAATCTAAATATTATAAGAATTTGAGTTTTAATTGAATTTGAATGGATTTGGAAGAATTTTCATGACTAAAATACAAAGACCTAAATACAAGGTCTAACTTTGGTATTTGAGTGGATTTGATTTTTTTCTATTTTGTTGATTTTAAAATCAATAAATTTATCAAATCCAAAGAAGATTTATAAATCTATCAAAATACAAGAACCAATAACCCCTACTAAAGCTTTCGCAGTTTTGCATTAAGCGAAACTATATTGTTTCAAATATGTTGTATCTCTGTATTGTTTATAAAACATTTTACTACGGATATGATCGATAATTTGTCCACTGTTTATCCACCAACATAATTATGTTTGCAAGTGACTCATTACTAAATCTCATAACGAAATATCATGTTTACACATTACTACTATTACAAATTATTAGTTTATTGTAAAAAAAAAAAAAAAAGAAAGAGAATTGTCAATTACATAGTGAATATCGTCCTTATCATAAAACCACTAGTCTTGGTAACTTTAACTTGTTTATGTAAAAAATAAGATGGTTATTTTACATAGTTAATATCGTCCCTTTTATTACAAGGAGAAAGGAAAGAAAGAGTGGCATTATATTACATCATTACAATAATGTCAATAAGGTTTAGTTTAACATCAGCATCTCTATAGAAACAAAAACTGATGATGGATCGGAGGCGTATAGACCGAATAATTAAAGATTAGATGTAACATTTTCCTAATTTGAATAATTTAATGTGATTTAAGGGAATTAGAAAAAGGATTAGACTAGTAACGTATGATTGAAGAGGAGTCAGTGTGTGTGTGGGAGTAGTAGTCACATGGGATTTGATACTTAGCTAATATAATTGCACATGCCTTTACTCTTCTTCCTCCCAATTCCACCAACTCCATTGTCTCCATTCTACGCCATGAATGATGAATCATAGCATCATTTTTTTTATAATATCCAATAAATATAATTGTCTACCATAATTTCATTACATATATATTATTGTATTTTTGCATTTATATAAAAAACTAACTTGAAATTCAAGTGATTGTAGCACAATGATTTCGTTATGTTGGTCAAAATCGGGTATCTGATTGTTAATGAATAATAATATCTTTTTTTTTGCATGAATAATGAGATCTTCTGAGTGCCATTAATTTATTTTTATATCAATATATATATATTATTTTTTTTAATTACATACTTAACATCTCGATAAAAAAACTCCTTATTGTATAAGTACCTATTTGTTTTTTTAACAAGAGATGCATCTAAGTATCTAACTATGTTTATTTAGGTAAAATCCAACTCGCACTTTCTTAACTAAAACACTCAACTGGTAACACAAAAAAAGTTATAAGTTACTTGCTACTAGAATATAATATTGGAAAGAATAATCCTAGACTATTTCTGAAGTTTGAATCCTAGATTAATATACACTACTCTTCTCATCTTTTGACCAACTATTGTTGAATTTTTGTTTGTTTGACTGCAATATTAACTTTTTGTGATAAAAAGAAGGAAAATATAAGATACTACTAGTTACATAACTTAGAAATATATGTATATGACAAAAAAAAAGAAATATATGTACATCTCGATTCATATTTATACGAAGGTCCTAGAGACTACAAGTATATATTGTTTTTCTTGTATGATTTTACTCATTGATTACACTATTCTCTTCATAACCGAAGAAACAGCTTATTTCTAAGATCGGATTCCACGCAAAAGAAATCATACTAATATTACGGGTTGATAACAAAAACATATTTCTTGTCATTGAAACGTTTACAAAAGATAACTATAGTTGAAATCCTAATAAGAGCTTAAGCCGTACTCGAAATACACATAGATATTCAACCAGTTAACTATTGAAAGGGTCTCTCTTCTTCTGCGATTTATTAACGGTACAAAAACCCTCATGGACCTGGGCTACGTATCCCTAATTCCAGCCCAAACACACTGAGACCAATCTTGGTCAAATCTCTCAAACCGCAAAACAAAGAGTCTTAGCTAAACCGAAAAATAAATGGCAAAAATTTTTAATTTAAATATCAACAAGCGTATGTATGTTTATACATGTCATCTGCATGTCATTTACATTTTTTTATTTATTGAAAACAACAAAGTATAAAAAGGTTTCAGTTTGGACATGTATCCAATCTCCATCGTTCGAGGTAAATGTCTGAAGTTGTATGTACGTGTAATGTGTGGTTACTGTCTTCGTACAAAACTCACGTTTATTTCTCTTAAAAAGTTACACTTCTTTCTTTGTTCATTGAATATGTACCAACTTTTGCAAATCGATTATATTATTAAGGAGAAAAAAAAAGGTTGTCTCTTTAGGTTGCAGCCTTCATACTATAAATACTATTTTAATAGAGAAATGAGTGTTTGAGGCTTTGAGCATGAATTATCTAAATATCTTGTAGTTGTACTATTCCGATTTATGAGACTTAAAAGAGTTGTTTTATCTATTTATCTATATCACAGAATTTTTTACTTAAATTTATTAAATATATATATATATATATTTTTCAAGACACCTATCAAAAGTATCTTCATTGTATATTTTAAAAACAACAAAATACTACAAAGTGTTTTATATACATAAAATATATAAAATATTAATAATTAATCAATAAGACCCATATTATCATTGGGATTGCTCTAATATATTGAATTTCTGAAAGTCATAAAGATTAAAAAACTCTACGGCTAGTTTTATTTAACCTATATTCGTAAGTGATTTTCTACATCGAGTAATGACAAAAACACACACACGAAAATCGTTGTGATCTGGAAAAAAAAATCCAGTGCTGTGAAAAGTAAACTGGTAAAAAAAAAACTAACTGGTTTGATAAAACGGTAAATTGGTAAACTGATTTGACTCCAGTGACTTGTCTCCTTCCCCGTATGAGAATTAATTACTGAGGTTCTATAAACATATTTAGTAATGGAAATGAGATTTCTTCCCCTTAAAAGCATTGATACAAATCATTTTCTAGCCCATTGTTTCATTTGAATCAGGCTACTCTCACTTACTCATTGCAAAAATGAGATTTTCTATAAACTGCCTTTAATTGCATATTTTTTTTTTTGCTTAGATAATCTTTTCATATCTTTATCCCTTTTTAGATAATTTTTCTGTTCCAACAGGTATAGTAATAAACCTTGTATTCTTTATGACATGAACCTTTTAACCTAGTTTATTGGTACAATGACACAGATAACACGATTAGATGCTATGCACGCCAAATCAAATCCTATGATTGATCATTAGACCACTTACTTTATAAGTATTTCGAATAAATCATTGACAAAAATCTATTTAGATGAATCATAAATTTGAG